GACACGTGGAAGGCCAAGACAGTCTTGATGGATCATGAAACCACACAGAAAGCATGCGTAAGGGCTTCGATCTCCCTTGAGGCCGCAAGCATTACATGTAAAAGAATCAAGTCTTAGAAGAAGGGTGAGTTGATGATCATGAGCTTTCAAATCCACAATAGACTGTTGTGGTGGGTTCAAAACACAACGCATGTCCAAAGTGAAGTTACAACACGAACAATGATAAAACAATTCATTATCAACCTCTTTTCCACATAGACGACATTTTCCATCAGAATACTCGGGTGTTGCATTGGTGAGGAGCTTAAGAGGATGCAAGGAGTGGTAATGGTGGTTTACCTCTGTTGGGTGATTTAGATCTTCTGGTGCAGGGTGCCATACACAACCCACATGGAAAGCTGCATCACATTCATCACATTTGTATGGAAATCCATAACCATATTCCCCGCATGAAGAGCACTTGATACAGGTCTGTTCCATGAGACGTGTGAGCTTGTGGGGGTGCGTCTGGAAATTGTCAATAACCTCTGGTGGTGGATTCTTGGCACAGTGTAGATCCACTTTGAAGTTACACCATTTACAAGGACAAGAGTAGAATAGCGTCAAGATTCTCCTATCACATAGATAACAATTGTAACCTTCAAATCTCTGTCGAAGCTGGAGAGCGTGATGGGGATGAGATGGGTGGTCGATGAATTCAGAGAGCTTGCAGTCGCCACATTTCTTGTGCACAAAAAAATCACAGAGTTTACAATAGTAGCCATCACTCTCAGATTCAAAGAAATTACAACAATCACCTCTCGTCAGATCATTCCAAGGCATCATAGGATGGTTGTGAAACAACGGTAGTGACACTCCCTCGGATTCCATTTGGTAGTATACGAAGAAGAAGAACGAGACGGAAAGTTGAGAAATGTGTATCGTCAAAGCTATCCCTCAGACAAGCTATCCAACTAAGGTTCCCCTTTCTCAAAAAAGAAAAAAAAATGAAAAAACTAGGGTTCCTACATTCTTCACGTGGGTTTGTCGTTTTTATTGTTTGTTTTTTGTTATAATTCTGATGCCATTACGTCGTTATTTTATTTTATTTTTTTATTTTTGGTAAAAATTACGTTGTTATTTTGTTCATAATGTTTCGTTTCCATAACCATAATCCATCGTTCTTCAGTACATCTTCTCTCACGTGAATTCTCGCTATCCCCAATTTTCGAAAAGATCATTGGAAAGTTGCAAGTGAGAGGTATTTTAGATTGAAAAAACAATTACTATACTATGCTCTGGCATAGCTAGCCTCTGGACGCATCAAACCCGGAGAGATTGAGGTGGTAGGCTTCTGTTAGAATTTAATAGTTTAAAGTTACAAAATCAGTGGATGACAGTTCCAACAATATATCTTCCTAATGTGCATATGTATTAATGTATAGTTCTGAGTTCTGAATGATTGAAGTTTAATAATTGTTGTTTGTCAAAAAAAACAAATGTTCGGTTCCATAATTTTCACTTCCTTTCTAATGTTGTTTCCCAATATTTTGGGTTTATAGAATTTCACTAAGCTTGTGGAAACACCGTGGCCTAATGATCAAGGTTTAAAAGGTTTCTACATCTAGGTATGGGGTTCGAATCTCGAACTATTCAATTTCTAGGTTTCAATTCTTGGAAAATGCGAATTATGCAGAAAATTGGAGAAAAAGCTTACAAGAGATCTTCAGCATGGCGTAATGAATACCGTTAGGAATGGATCTCATATGACGGTTCAGGATGATGCAATCATAGTGAATCCGCATAAGACATGTAGAATTGTCGGCTGTAATATCTTCTAATGTTTCCCATAATTTGTAATAATATAATTACCCAGACAAAAAAAAAAAAAGAATTTCACTAAGCCCATATTCTTAAGCAAACTCATTTTCTTCTAAGATTATGTACAATATTTTTTATTCACATTTTTGTTTTTTTTTTTAATTCTATATCAGATGTGAAGCCAGAAGATTTACTCTATAGAGGCACTATTTAATATGAAAAACATTAGAAAGAATCGAATTTGAAAGTTGTTGGTAGTTTGGTGCACAATATAATTTTTACCAATTTATTTAAAAAATTCTAATAGTTTGAGCTTAAAATTATAAACTATATTAATTTATGGGTGCATCTGCACCATAACGTGCATTCGGCCTTGCTATATACATCATCCCTCTTTTCTCACTTCAACGTTACTATTCAGCATTCACTCAATATATATCAATCGTTTGTCTAAGAAAATCAACATCTTACCATATTTTTTATGGAAAATTGTCATTTAAATCACGAACTTTCAAATTTAGTTGAAAAAAAACATGAATTTTCCCTTGGACCATTTAAAGCACCAACTTAGTTTGAATAGCCATTTTAAACTTCAATTTAGTTTGACTAAACCAAATTAAGCACGACGTTAACTGGGTTAACTGATTGATTAAACAGTATTAATCTCCGTCTCTAATCTTCCGTTAAGTCCTTGTTAAGTCCAAACGACGTCGTTTTAAAATTTTTAAAAATATTGTATCCGAAGGGAATCGAACCCATGACCAAAACAAGACTCGTTTTGGAATCAGAACCATACCACTTACAATTTTCTTAGCTTAAATGAATACTAATATATATTATTATGAAACCCCCAAATCATTTTCTCCCACCCTAAATCCCTAAATGATTTTATAAATATTAAAACTTATTAATAACTTAATAATTAAAAATTGCGTGAATATTATTAAAAATATTATAACTTATAATAATTATTAAGTTATTTATAAGTATTATTAAAAATATTAAATAACAAAATATTTTAATCATTAAGTATTATTGAATATTCAAATTTTCGTTATTATACTTAATAATTAATTATTCAATAATACTCAATAATTAAGTATTTATTAATTATTGAATAAAATTATTTAATTATTGATTATTATTGAATAATTAATTATTAAGTATAATACGAAAATTTGAATAATTAATAATAGTTAATGATTAAAAAATTTTGTTATTTAATATTTTTGATACTACTTATAAATAACTTAATAATTATTATAAGTTTTAATATTTTTACTAAAATTCACTATTTTTTTAATTATTAAGTTATTTATAAGTTTTAACATTTATAAAATCATTTAGGGATTTAGGGTGGGAAAAAATGATTTGGAGGTTCCATAATAATATCTATTAGTAATCATTCAAGTTAAGATTTTGCAAGTGGTCTAGTGGTTTTGTTTACAAAACTAGTTTCATTCGGTCACTCGTTTGGACTTAACGGAAGATTAGAGACGGAGATTAACACCGTTTAATCAATCCGTTAACCGAGTTAACGTCGTACTTAATTTGGTTTAATCAAATTAAATTGAGGTTTAAAATGGCTATTCAAACTAAGTTGGTGCTTTAAATTGTCCAAGGGAAAGTTCAAGATTAGAGACGGAGATTAACACCGTTTAATCAATCCGTTAACCGAGTTAACGTCGTACTTAATTTGGTTTAATCAAATTAAATTGAGGTTTAAAATGGCTATTCAAACTAAGTTGGTGCTTTAAATTGTCCAATGAAAAGTTCATGCTTTTTTTCAACCAAATTTGAAAGTTCGTGATTTAAATGACAATTTTCCCTATCATTTATTACAGTTGTTTTTTCTTTTATTTTTGTGTTTTTAATTAAAAAAAAATATTCATCATTCATTCAATATTCAAATGCTTATTTTTACAGTGCCCCAAGACAATTAAAAAGCATCATTGGTAGTGTATACTGAGAAGAAGAAAGAGGAAAGATTTGAATAATATGTATCTTCGTAGCTATCTTTCTTTTTTGATGTAAAAAGAAGCATCGTAACGTAAAGATTAAAGTTTAAAAAATTTTATATCAGGTCTAGAATTTGAATTCCAAACTATACAGTTTTTACACCAAAAAGGTTTAATTTCCCGAAAAAAAGTGAATGGAGAAAAACTATTTTCAGATGTCTTTCTCTCAATCTACTCAAAAGTCCTTGTTAATATCAAAGATGCTCTTACAAAATAATACAGAGTATGGTACTTTGGGTGGTCACTTTAAACATTAAAATTATTTAGTTAAGTAGCTGCATCACAAACTTTATGACATAATTTGAGAAGTACGAGGTACAAAATTAAATTGTATTAAACTCACAACTTGTTCAAAAACAGACATCGAAATCAGTAAACTCCTCGAAACTCTGGAGTCACAGGAATGTCCAGTCGGTGCGAAAATTGTTAAATAGGAAGAGGTAATCAACCACACTGAATCGTAACTCGGTTAGGTTCGTTCTGTGATAAACTTAGATGGGACATGAGCGGACAAGTGTAAAAGAAGTTAAACCCTAAGAAGATAGCAGCAAGTTTGCAAACACTAGGTCATAACTAACATCTTGAGATTGCAAGTTTTATCTCAAAAGATGGCACAGCTTTCAGGATTATAGAAACATATCCGTCTCTAACGAAAGATCCTAATCTCTCTATGTACATACACATGTATTAGATTATACAGCGAATGTTTATGTTGAGAAAAAAAATGGATCATACAACGAAATGAAAAACACTCTTTCTCTCTTCTGTGCATAAATTTTATAAATTAAAAAAAAAATAGGGACGAAAATCACATAAAAACCGAACCTTACTCTCCTCTCACTCTGTCTCAATCTACATGAAGTAACTCAAGGAAGTCTTATTCCTTGATCCTCCTCCGTACAGCTCATTCCATTGCTGAAGCTCGTTCATGTTTGAAGGCGTACCTTTCAGGATTTTAGAAACATGTCACTGCTTAAAAAAATCCGAAACTCTAATATACATAATGCATGTATTAGATTATACAGCGTATGTTTTTTTCTTCTTATGTTGAGAAAGAAAATGAATTAGACAAGGAAACGAAACACTCTTTCTCTCTTCTGTACATAAATTTTATAAATTAAAAAAAAAAGGACCAAAAATCAGATAAAAACCGAATAAATCTTCCTCTCCCCTCTGTCTCATCTACATGAAGTAGCTCAAAGATGTCTTCTTCCTTGACCCTCCTTCTCCATACAGCTCGTTCCATTGCTGAAGCTCGTTCATGTTCGATGAGTCTGTTGACACACTCGCACATACCTATATACACAATGTAGTTGACATCATTTAGTCACCATTTTTAGATCTTATATAAACAAACACAAAGCCAAACCAATTTGTCTTTTTTTTTTATATAACTACCTGTTCATGGGCAGCCTTGAAATCGGACATTGTCAGTGGACGAATGTCTGTGCAGCTATACAATGGAGGCGTTGGACGGTTTTCCGCCTCGGCTGCAGTTTTTTCCTGGAGCCAAAAACAACAGTCAAAATGTAAATAATATATTGGTCTTTGCAATGGCATTAAAAGTTGGAAACCAAACCTTCTTTTCCTTCTCCAGTATTTCTCGAATTGGAAGATGTGCTGCAGTTACACAAAGATTCTGCAACAAAATGAGAGAATGTGAGCTTTTTACATGACAAGGAGATTTGAGATTCAAGGAGAGAGAGAAATAAGTAGACCTTTAAGTCACTTCCCGAGTAGCCATCTGTCATATTTGCAATCGCTTCTAAATCAACGTCTGGTCCTATTTCTTCTTTAGCTAGAATAACGCTTAAGATCTTTCCTCTGTTCGTGGCGTCTGGAAGATTAACCATCAATCTGCATACAAGTATGCATCAGTGATAGATAGCTACTACATGATGGATATTAGAGAATGTATGGCCGCTTTTACCTCCGGGGAAGCCGTCTAATAACAGCTTCGTCGAGGTCAAATGGTCTGTTGGTAGCAGCAAGTACCAGAACTCGTTCTCTGTCCTTTGTCCGTAAACCGTCCCAGTTAATCATGAATTCATTCTTCATCTTACGCATAGCTTCATGTTCCCCTGGATTCTCACGTCTTCCCAACATGCTATCCACCTAAAGGTTCATGTTTTCAGGAATCATCAGGTCGAGAAAGTACATAAAAGCCTGGCTTCGAAGAAGAAGTGAAACAGAGAACGCTTTCAAGCATACCTCATCAACAAAAATGACACTTGGAGCGATCTTGCTTGCTAAAGAGAAGACAGCTTTCACATACTTCTCTCCCTCACCAAACCACTGCAAAAGCATTCTTATTAGTTGGTCAAGTATACAATCTTTTAAAAGCACACAAAACAAAAGTTCGGATCACTGTTGGACGGATACCTTTGAAGTAATACTGGACATTGAGATATTGATGAAGTTTGCGCCAGCTTCAGTTGCTACTGCCTTTGCCAGCATCGTCTTCCCGGTACCAGGAGGTCCAAACAACAGAATACCTTTCGTAGGCTGCAGTAAAATGTGATCATTTATTTGATGTCCAGAGGAGAGAGAGAAACAAACATATGTGAAAACGTAAAGCCGTCAAAGGTACCTTGGTTAGCTGGCCTTTGTCAAATAATTCGGGTCTTTGAAGAGGAAGCATCACCAACTCTTTTAATGTGTCTTTCACATTCTCTAAAGCTCCAATATCATCAAACGATACACCTATGTCGCTAGGAGGAATGACATCTGATAGGAGTTTTTTCTCAAACTCGTTCTCTGTCACAACATCCTGAAACAGGCATAGCAAAGCAACTCTTAGATTCGAAACTTTCTAACTTAAGGTAAAAGTAATAAAATTACATAATATTACCTTTAGAGATTTCTTTAGACTCTTGTTTTCATTCTGAACACCCTGCAACATCTGCAGGCCATATGTAATGCTGCAACACATGCCGAAGTGTTATTTTCAAATCTAAGGTTACAGTATTTCAGAATATACAACGAAGCTAACCTTTCCGATGAGATAACAAGCTTGTTGTCTTTGACTATAGGTTCTGAACAGTTCATAAGATGGTGGCTAAAGGCCCAACCAACCACTTTCTCAGCACCTAGAAACACATACAGTAATTGGTTAGTCACCATCAAAGCAGAAAGAAAATAATAAATAGGGCCGAGAGAAAGAGGCCAACTTTCGGGAAGAAGGGTTTGATCTTTGATGCACAAGGTTCCAAGGTCAGGGCAGTCCAGACGGTTTTTGGTAAGGACCTGTATGCATATTATTAACAAAGACATAAGCAAAAGAAAACAGGAGCGCTTAGATAGCTATAGGACTTGACAAGAAGATGCTCACTCCAAGGATGCTGGTTATATTAGCCTGAACCTTCAAAAGCTCTGTATCACGGTCCAGTTTCTCCTTCCAGTCCGGGAGCAAATTTTCATCCTATTATGTCTTAAGAGCATAAGAAACTGAAATAACAGATAACGAATGTACCCAGACACGAAGAAATGAATAAAGGTGTCGACCTGAGGTAATTGGATGGCGATTTTGTTAGGAAATAGCCGAGTTATTTGTTTCAACGATTTAGGTGTTTCTTTGCTCCTGTCGTGAAGTTTACTAAAATTGTCCTGCAGATGATAGGAGAAATAACATTCAATATCTCAAAAATATGCAATGCAATTTCAAAAGTGGAGAATAATTAAAGATAAGTCAGGTCATCATACCGGAAATGCAAGATCTAGTAAAGCCGTCTGGTTGCCGCCAAACTTGGTAAACAAGAAACCTCCAGGATGAGCCTGAAAAACACCACCAAAACTCCAATTAGCACAGATGGAGACATTTTAAATGGCTTAAAGATGCCAAAAGAAACCAGATATGATTAGATAAGATGCCTACTTTCTCTTTTCGAGCATCCAACTGGGTTTGTGAGGCTATGACAACAATATTATCCGGTAAATTCTCGAGCTTGCTCTTCAAGGTTGCATATACGTCACTGTTACCCACCAGAGATTTCTCAATATCTTTAAGGAACAGTATCAATGACCCTCCTTCAGCCTCACTTAGTGCGACCTACGATACGATGCAAGAGGGTTAACAATCCTGCACCTAAAGGACCAAGTGGCCCTCTCCCATTACTTCGAAAGTAAAATGTACCTCCAAGATTTCATTAACGGCGAGTTTATCAGCATCATCACCAGAAGAACCATCTAACCGAAGTGAGCTAGCTGCACACAGAATGGCATTAGTAAAATAATATATCTTTAAGTGAGTCAGAACTGGAAATAACAGCCCGACAATTACCAGCACAGAAAAAACCGTGGTCTTCTTCGCAGAGGCCACCAAGATCATTGCCATCCGGCACAGGCCTATCGAATCTAATCCCAATTTTTGATGATGCGTTGTCTTCAAATGCAAGGACTACTTTTCCTTGAAAACCAATGGTTGGTCCCCTATAAGCAAAAAACCAGGAAAGTATTAGAACTGAGTTTCCGAATACAGCAGATCTGAATACTAAAAGCAGCAAATAGTACCTAAGTGGTGAGCCTTGAAGAGCAGAAATTGCAGAAGACGAAGGACCTAGAAACTTGACTCGGTCACCTAAAAATAATAGAAGCGCTTGTTCAGTAACACCAGAAGATTGGTACAGCAAAGAGAGAGGACAATTGTGACAAAAACGATCATGCCTGCTTTAAACGTGTAACTCTTAGAAGTTGCTGTTGACACTTCTTGCTTTGGCAAAGCCTGAGAACTCAAAGTTGATCCACCTGTTATATCAGCGTCAACACTTGAAGTTGGTTTCTTATGCTGCAATGCTTGTGCAGCCTGAACAGCTCGTTTAGCAAGCATAGAGAGCCTTTCACGCCTAGAACCTTCTTTAGATGATTCAGCTTCCCTGGCTGGTGATCCCTGAAGTAATCCAGAGACAGTAAAAGAAATCTATGAATTCCCAGGTGTGACTAACAAAACCTACTAATTTTCAAAGTGTCCGTTGAAAACAATGGGAGAGTGGAGATAACAAATATAGCATCTAAGCTTCTACACACTTGCTCAAGATGACAGAAAGTTATACTATTAAACAAAACAAAATTGTAATACTATCACAAAGGATAAATTAATGGGAAAAAGAAAAAGAAAAGTACCCCAGGCAACAAAAGAGAGTCAACGATCATCAACTTGGCCCCAAAATTTTTAGCAAGCGCCTTTGCCAACATTTCCTGATATATCTCAGAGCCTAATAATATGTCATATACGGTAAAACTTGGTTAGAAAAATAGGCATATCCGTCATATATATGAAGTAAACTTGGCTCGACGAACGGACACAGTAAAAATAATAGAAACGAGTCTCATACCTGCTGGTCCAGACAGCAAGATACGGGGACTCGTTGTAGGCAAGTCCGATGCATACTTTGCGAACTTGCTTCCACCCTTCATATGGACATACATCGATGCTATCAGAACATCCTTGGTCGTAGCACTGCGAATAATTAGAAAATGTTTTGGCTATAAATCATCAAACCATCAAAATCCAGATATATGGTAGAATCTAGCATAATATATAGCAGCCAGACCTTAGAAAATAAGGGAAGTTATCCAAAGAAACATCTATGTTTTCAGCAGTTAGTACTCCTCCTCGCAGACTATCCTTAAAGGTTTGGCGTCTAGTAGATATAGTAGATGAAACGTCAAATTCTTTAAGGAGTTCTCTCACTTCCCTTCTTTCATCCAGCAATTTGGAGATTCCCCTTATATCCAATGAAGAGGATTCCCCAAGAAGGCGCAAGATAGGTCTAATTTCATAACCAGAAGCAGGAGGGTTTCCACCATCGGCTTCTTGAAAAGGATCCAATCCACTGCCATCGGCATTCAGATTCTCATTGGCAGTGTAAGAGGTTGAAGGAGCAGCTTTCTCCACTGAAGCAATAGCAGCATGATCATTGTTACTATCAGCATCGTTCATGTCGGTATCTGAGATGCAATCATTGCAGCTGGTAGGTTCCTGTGGAACCTCTGGATTGTGCTGCCTTTTGGCAGATTTAGCAATTGGTGGTCGAAGATGTAAGTTGCGGTACTTTGATAGAGATGCCAATATAGAGGCCCCATCAACAGCTGAGGACTCTCCTGCTCTTGTCTCAGAATGAACCCGGCCACCTCGAGCTTCAAATAATTTCTCTGAAAAAGATCTGTCAGGAGCGGCTAGATTTTCATCTTTAAGAGGTTGAAATATCTAGACAAACGTTAAGAAAAAAATTGCAAGAAACCACTGAAATCAAATGGTTAAAAAACATAAACGTGAATCAATTCACACCAACTCCAAAAAGGATACATAAGCATGTCTCCCAGAAATGTTGAAGATCACCTCGTCCCCACCCCGGAGGTGAACGAGAGCACCTTTCTGGTAACACTTTCCATTCACCTGAACAAGAACTCCATTCCCAGTTATCTCCAAAGTTGCAACCGATGGACCTCCGTTCTGCACAAAAACAATGTAACCAAACGGCTTTTTTCCTTAAAGCCAATAAACGAGATGCAACAAGATGTTCTTACCTCAGCCTGCTTAAGTTCACACAGGTTGCTGGGCATAGACTGGTCTTTGATAGATAAATCACATCCCCGACGTCCAACTGTGAACACAGGTCCCCTCATGATACGGTGAGGGTTCTGAAATCACAGAGAAACACATCAAAACAGTCAGAAACAAAACTGAAAAGAAAACAGAGTCCTAATTCCTACGAAAAAGCACTGTCAGATAAAAAAAATAAAAAGAAACTGAACATGCAGACAACTAAACTAGATCCTCATGAACTAAAAGAACAGATCTTTACTTAAATTGTACACTGCTAAAACCTCAATCCGCAATTCAAAGACTAGAATCACGACGCAACTAACCGACCTGAGGATACTGTGAAAGTAGCTTCGCCCATGGAGCCTTAGCTCTTTTCTTCCCCGCCTTAGACTTCTCACCATCCGCCACCACGTCCTCTAAATCCACAACACACACACCAAAACATTAAAAATAATAAACTCAAAAAAGAAAAAGACACTAAAGAGAAGAAGACACCAAAACCTGCAACAGTAGGTGTGGCCAATACATCGGTTTCAGGAGAAGCCTCTCTCAAAGGCACATCAGTGAGAACACCAGGCTTCTCCGCAGCATCCACACCTTGCGGATCAGCGGATCTCATCTCCGGCTCTCCAGATTCCGATCCAGGATCCGAACCGGGTCCTTGATTCTCCACCGGAACCTCACTCGCCGAAGAAGACCCCGCCGGTTCCGCCGCCTAGGTCATCCCCAAAAAAAAAAACTCAAAATCAGATTCAAAAAAATTCAAAATCGAATTCGAAATCAAACGAATCTTGACCTTAGATCGCTTAGAAGGGCGTGGAGACGAAGCGGAGGGTTCAGGGGATGAGGAGGAACAGAAACGCTTGGAAGCGGAGGAGCTGCTTCGCGTCTCAACCATATCTTCGCGATTTGACTTCGTTTCGCGTTGATTGATCCAAGAAGAAGAAGAAGAAGAACCGCTCGATAGATAGATAGAGAGAGAAGAGATAGAGGGGAAAATGGAAAAGAATAATTAAATCAGAGAGATTTTCATGTAAATGATTACCACCCCCAGGTCAATTTTTAAATTAAACCTCCAACTTTATTGTTATGTACTGTTTGTATTGTGTGCATTAAATTGCATTATTTGGTCAAATATCAATATAACTTGACCGAACTATATCCATATTTCTGAACAAAAAAATATTTATTATTTTCCAATAATTATATAAAGCGCAAGTCTCTAAAATAGCCTTCTTTTAAGTTTTTATCACAAAAATATACCTTAAAAATTAAAATGACCAAAATAGCACTTTTTATTTTGAAAATTTTAAATTTTCTTAATTTTTTAAAATTCGAAACTCTATCCCAAAAACCCCACTCCTCAACTCTAAACAACAAATCTAAGATTAGTTAACCCAAGAGTATAAATGTATATTTAATAAAATATTTAACTGCTATTTTGGTTATTTTAATTATTAAAGTCTATACTTGTGATAAAAACTTTTTTCGGTCTATTCTAGTTATTTTCTCTTATATATAAGCTAATTTAGTAAAATTCATGAATATATATTCCGAAAATGTTGCTATAGATAGAAATTAAATATAATTCAACCAATTATAAAATCAAAGAGTATAAGAATAAAGGGTATATAGTATTCAGTAGATATAAAAGTCATATACAACAATTTTTTTTTTGAAAAAAAATCACATACTTGAACCTTTCGTCAAAAAAAAAAGAAAAAAAAAGTCATATAAAGCTCTATAATAAATGCATGTAATTGTTTACTTACTGTTGTTAGGACATCTCCAACTCAACTCTATTTTTTACTTCAAAATAGAGTAAAAGTGATTATGGAGTAAAAAATGCTCCAACCCCACTTCATTTCTTACTCCATAATGAGATTTACTCCATAAATGGAGTAATCTATTTTTTGTTTGTTCACTACTCCATTATGGAGTTACAAATAGAGTGGGGTTGAAATATTTTTACTCCATAATCACTTTTACTCTATTTTAGAGGAAAAAATAGAGTTTTACATTGGAGATGCTCTTAGAGTAGTTGATGGCTATAATTTACTGCACTGTGAACCTATTATACAACCAGCAACATGATAGATTCTACTTCTTTTTACAGACTAGGTCTTTTCCATATTTATTCATTATAAATAAATAAATACAAATGTTTCCTTATAAATAAATAAATAAAAATGTTCCCTTTTTACTAGTTTCTTGAAAAAGAAAGCGAGAGTTAGATCCGCTTGTGCAGTAACCACTGAGGTAACAAGATTCTACTTGCTTTTTCTGGAGATTGACTCCACAGGTCAAAACCTTTTAACTTTACCACATAAACAACACACGTAGAATCACTATAGTCAGACTTTTTTTTGTTAATAAATACTAAACCACTGTACCACAGCTGATTATTTGTAAATGTGTGCTTATATCTATACTGAAAGTACTATTCTGTTTAATCAACATATTCTATATTTTACTAGTGTTTTAATTTAAATTCCAAATTATTTATACCATGGCATTTTATCATAAATTTTCACAATTTTTAAGACGAGTAAAGAATCGGAACCGGCTCGCTCGCTCCTACAACGACTCCACGGATACATGGAGGGGTGTTTGGTTCACCTAACAGGTGTTATTGTAGTTAGGCACGTGGGCGCATGCACATTGTGGATGATAAATCGATTACATCACATGACCTAGGTGGGCGTTCGGGCACCCATTCGGATTCAGTTCGGATTTATTGGAGTTTCGGGTTTTTGGGTTCACAAATTTTAGCCCCATTCGGATATTTCTAAATTTCGGTTCTGGTTCGGTTTGGATCTTTACGGGTTCGGTTCGAGTTCGGATAACCCATTTAAATTATTTTTAGAATTTTAAAATTGATTATATACTTTAAATTTCTAAAAGTCTATAAACAAAATAATATATTACAAATTATTGAATAACATAAGTCAAAATACCTAAAATAAACATATATATTAGTTTGATTTGAATATTTGGATTGTGAATCAATAATTTTCTTAAGTATTTTTGATGTTTTAAGTGTACTTTAGCAATTTTAGACATGTATGTTTGACTATTTACATATATTTACAAGTATTTTGAACAACTTCAAAGTATTTTATATATATTGAATATTAATGTTTTTTATATACATTAAATCTAAAAATAACTAATATATATAGGTATATAAATCTCTTTCGGATATATTTGGGTATCCGAAATACTTTGGTTCGGATCGGATTCGATTTCGGTTTCGGTTTTTTACATATCAAAATTTTGAACTCATTCGGATATTGAATTAATTTCGGTTCGGGTTCGATACTACTTTTTCAGATCGAATTCGGTTCGGTTCTTCGGATCCGGGTTTTTAGCCCAGCACTTAACATGACCTGTTTGTAATTTGCTTCAAAGATGGTAAATGCGAATGTTAACTTTTTTTTCATAAATCAAAAGGGCTTTTATATTAAGTTACAAGCCCAACAAGCTACAGTTGTTTAAGCAAGGGCCCAAAGCCTGAGAGAAATGAAACGGGAAACCTCTTGTGATCGAAAATAATGGACGACGACGACGAAGAAGCGCACTTGAAGGCGGCGTTTGGCGATTCGTCAGACGATGAAAAAGAACCTGTCGTGGTCGGAGATTCGGCGACGGCGGTAGTATGGGAGAGAGTGGAGAAGATCAATGGTTTATGGCTATGTAGAAACTTTCTCTCTGTTCATCATCAGTCTCATTTACTCTCCGCCATTCTAAACGGTACCGTTTGCTCCTAATACTTCAAATGCACAGTAATCTTACACTTATATAGATTTTTGCTTTAGCTTTGAAATTTTGTTCTTTACAAATTTCTGCAGAAGGTTGGTTCGTTCAAGAATCTATTAATCAGGTACTAAAACCCTAACACAAAATTGTAATTGTTCTATTGCATTTTATGAGACATTGATTCAAACACGCTTTGTTTAGTGTATGAATGAGTTGGGCGTTTGTTTTTCCTATGCGGCTTGAACATTTAAAGCTAAATTATATTCCCTCTGTTTTTTTTTTTTTTTTTTACCAAACTTGAGTAACAAAACACGGTTCATGTTTTTATTTCTTCTTTTGAAAGGCGATGAGATTTGGTGATCTCCCTTCCTGGGCAACGGAACTATCTGATCTCATACTCGAGTCTCTGGAGTCTGTTGAACTTCCAGTGTTGCCTGCTGATTTGCTGTGGAGAGAACCTTTGTTCGACCAGCTCATTGTCAATTTATACCAACCAGGTGAGGTACGATACTTTCACATTAACACTTATCACTTCTGGGCTAGAAGAAGCAATAGATAACAACTTGTTGGGATTTCTTGGAGCATTACAATTACTAGTTCAAGAGAGAGAGTTGCACAATAAGTGAAATAACCAGTCATAGACAGACATTAGAATATTAGATCAAGATTCTATGCAAATGAAAAAACAAGTGGATGATCATCTCTAAGAAGCCAGTAAAGGAACAGATTGTTAAGGTTTCTTGGAGGATTCCAATTAGATAGTTTAAAAGAGTTGCACAAGGACTAAAACAAACAATCAGGCATGGATTGTTCAGACATTACATCAAGATCTCATGTCTCTTAACAGGGGATTTGTGCACATGTTGATCTGCTGCGTTTTGAAGATGGAATTGCCATTGTCTCTCTGGAGTCGCCTTGCGTGATGCGGTTTAGTCCCGCAGAAAAGGGAGAAGGTGAAGCTGTGGATGTTTTGTTGAGCCCAGGATCTCTCATTCTCATGTCTGGAGAAGCTAGATATCATTGGAAACACGAGATTAACAGGAAGCAGATTGGGTTTCAGGTATGGGAAGGAGAAGAGATTGATCAGAAACGAAGAATCTCCATTACCTTGAGAAAGCTATGTCCAGCTTAGGTCTGACTAGCTTACTTTAGTCATCTTTTTGGTGTATGTGCTTAACTAATACTTACATGAGTAAAAACTTTTAGTTTTTTGGGTCTAACCGGTGACCAAGGAATGAAAGGGAATAATGCGTTCTTTACCATTCCTAATTTTTTTTACCTTTTATAAGGAACTAGATATGGATTCGTGCGTTGCACGTTTTTTTTTGTGGACACATAAAAATACACTTTTTCCACATTATACCATCTCTAATGTATTTTATTATTTTCGCTCTAAAATGAACTCTAGATGGGATATTTTCCAATATATCTTCTATAATAGCAATCTCTAAAGATAAAGTAAAATTAGAGGATTACTATTTCTTTTCCTTTATAAATAGAGGAAAAAATAAAAATCTCTATTGTACAGAAAGAAATAGAGGTATGTTGGAGCAATTTTACCTTTAAATGCTATTATAGAGATTAAAATAACAATGAGTTGGAGATGCTCTTAATTCTTGAATTTTTCAGTATATATTGGTCCTAATTTTAATAATAATAATTTGTTTCTTACATAAAATTTGATTGATATATTTATTTCAATAACTATGGTGTTTTAAATAATATATTAATATTTTAATTATTTTATTAAAATAATAATAGTTGTAATTACTTGAAACATATAGAACTGTGAAGTCTCAATATTATTTATCTTGTTTAAGGCAAATTAAAAACAGCACAATTAAAAATATTAAAAGTACACGACACCAATCAATATGTATTATTGATAGTAAGCTAAATCAAATATACTGCTAAATAAAACATCAAATATGTTTACTTTGCATATACTAGGTATGGATTCATGCGTTGCAAGAGTTTTATTTGATGTTTAATTTTTATTGACACATAAAAAATAAAATTATTTTTTACATTAAACCATCACCAATGTATTTCATTATTTTCTCTCTAAAATAAATGAACTCTATAATAGAGATAAAATATGTTCTAATATATTCCTTTATAATAGCAATTTTTAAATATAGAGTAAAAGTAAAAGATTGTTGTTTCTCCCTTTATAAATAGAGGAAAAAATAGAAATTTTTTTTCTTGGAACAATATAAATCTCTATTATAGAGAAAGAAATAGAGGCGGTTGTAGCAATTTCACCTTCAAA